TACCTTGATTGTAAACATTAAAATAATAGAAATAATTTGTAACTAAATTTTCAAAACCATTTTGCTCGAAAACGGTATTTTCTAGCGAGGTGCGACAAGGGCTGCGGTCCAAATTGCGAAAATTCGACAAACAAAAAATTTGGGGCAAATTTTTCCCACGCGTGTTACCCAGCCCTAAAGACAATCCAATACTAAGTTTTAGTTCGTTAAATAGAGCCAAAAATTTAGTAACTGTACCAAATTTTATGTTAAAAGCAATTACATATTTCGGAAATATTTACAAAAAATCGCCATCACCTCTTCAAATTTAACACCCTGTATGTTAAAACCTAATACGTTTTGGACCCTAGTTTATATGAACTTTCATCCTTATTGGGTCACAGAATACGTAGTTAAAATATTGACGTCTAATTTTGGGACACGCGGTATAATTTTCGACTCCCTGTCCATGACTAAGAACTTTATTTCCAGGAATTCTTGTCTAAATATTAGAATGTTTAATGTTTTTCTTGCCACTGTTTGAGGAAATTAGTACCATCGAAATTCGCACTTGGTACGACGAAAGTAAACAGAAAAAATGGGTTTGCAAATATAACGCCATCGTATAATCGTAATTTACCGTCCACGCGCGAAAATTTGAAATGTTCGGTCTGTCAACCGCATTGTTCGGACCGCCATTAAAATTGTAAAACAATATGAAATCAACGGAATTTCAACGAAAAGCGTTAAATGTTTTTGGCCCGCGTGGTTTTATTAATTAACTGACGCGAGTGATTGCAGTTTGACGCGCACAAAGTGCAATCGATTCTGTTTTAAACGGAATAAAGTGTGCAGAGGCCCAAAAAAAAGTCATATAAACATTAAGGACACTATGCAAAAGTCTCCCATTATACAGGGTGTTTTTGAAATGACGTCATATAATCTAATGATGTCGAATCGATATTTTATTCAGTCCAAATCGGATAAAAAATACTATCCTTTGTCACCTTAACCGACCCAAAAGGACGGCTATGGCTGCAATCGGACATACATCTTAAAAAATGATTCCATCTCAGATAAAGATATTTTAGATGCCACTAAAAGAATGCAGCCCAAAAATCAGTGAATCCAGACAAGATCTCATTCTTAAAACCAAAGAATACCCAATTGCATGGAGAATGTCAAAAGTTTGCCCAATTCATAGAAGTGGGAAAAAGTCAGAAATTAATAATTTTAGATTTGTGGCAATCATTAGCGCACCAAGCAAAATTTTTGAAACCATTTTGTATAAATACGTCTTTTCTTATATATCAGTAGTAATACATCTAACTCAGAACGGCTTTATGCCGAGAAGATCGACGGACACAACTTAACATAATTTTTACATAAAATAAATAAATCCATAGATAACAATAAACAAGTAGACATTATATTTACAGATTTCTCAAAAGCGTGTCTCTATCGATATTCTTAATATGGTTAATGTACTTAAATTCAAGAATAATGTACTTGGTGGAAAATGGTGTGGAGTCATGAATTTGTCCCATTTTCAGGCGTTCCGCTAGAGTCGAATCTGAGCACTGTCTTTCCTTTGTTTAATTTAATAATTGACCTGCCAAATGTTCTTCAGAATTCTGAGTGTGAATTATTCCCAGACGACTTTGAATTTTATACAGTTATTCGAGATTTAGAAGACTTTTAATCCAAGAGGGTGCATAGAGCACAAGAATGGAAACAAATTATCCTTTAATGCACAAAAAAAATATCCATTAAATGATGACTATCGACTCAATAATATAATATTAAGGCGTATGCAATAATGGGTTTTATTCTTCGCAACGGATCAAATTTACAACAAATAAAAACTTTGTAAACCTTGTTGCAACTCACTAGTAACAGGTATACTTCATTTGTCTGGTCCCCCCTTTACCGAAAATGTACTGAGCAAATAGAAAAAATTCAGAAGAAATGTTTACGCTTTTTATACCATAAAAAACATGGAATAAGGTCCCTGGTGGTATAAAGGTCCACCATAAACAAAAACGTTGCAAAAAATAATAAAATGTAACAAAATATGAAACAGATTTTTAAAAAATACTTAAACGTAAACCCGTTATTGGTCCTGATTTCAAGTCATAGAGGGTAATACGCAAATAGCAAATAAACTATTCATTGCACTCCAGACATATAACAGTTTCCGGATCATCTTCAGTGAACCCCATTGCATCATGAATATAAGAGTTCAGTTTCTACATTGCCTGATATCTGCTACTCTGTTTCCACCACAGATAACGCAAGACCAGTTCTTCATCACGAACGGTATTTGCCGAGCTGCTACTAGGTAAATTCACTGGCAACAAGGAATCTTTTTTAACTTACCTTGCCTTTTACTTTAAATTTCCTGTTAAACGGCAGCTTAGGATACCACGACGAAAATCATCGTTCACTTCGGAATATTCTGAACTTTCCAAATTACGGTCTGTATCAGGATCTTCTGGACGTACGGGCTTGGTTTTCATTTGAACTTCAACTTGCTTGGAGGTCGAACTGGCACTAGGAAGATGATGTGATTTCAACGATTTCTTTAGAAGTTTTTCATTTGAAATCGAATAAAAAATATCTCTTGATTTCTTTCTGTTGATTTGTTTCCCAGCGATCGGATTCATGTCAGGGGTGACAAGATTTTCCGAGAAAGAGTTTTCTTTCGAGAGAGTGGTTATACGAACAGCAAAAGAGACATCATTATCTGAGTGTTTGGAACATTAATCTCGGATTCCTCTTGAACTCCTTGCTGTGTAGTTAGACTTGGCCCATAAGCGTGGTCCAGAATTACACTTTTATTCAAATGGGTAAATCATTGTGGTTCTGATTCCATGTGTAATATTATCTATGGCCATACATCTCCCCCAAACTGGGGTAAAAACTTCAGAAAATCTTTCCTTTTTCATTTTCCTATCTGGGAATTTGTTCCAATAACGCAACAACTCCTCATCCTAAAAATTTCGCTTTTGTCGAGGTTGAATTCCCAGTTGGTCGGCAGCTTCAACAAATGTCGACATATGACGCAACACCGTCAAATATTAAGAGCGGCTGAACTTGGAAAAATGATTGAGCCATTCAATAAATAAGGTAGTGGTCAAGCTACCTTGAGATCCTGGAGTTAACCCGTCACTAAAAGTTTGTTTCAGTTTCTTTAAAATATATCATGGGTAGGATAGCATTTCCTAATGCATTTGCACACGTAATAATCGTACAATTTTCAGCGTGTTCTGGAGCAACCAGATGGACTTATTCCCGTTTTTCGCAATGACTGTCTGTTGATGATACAGGGTTAGTCTGCATCTTATTGTTGTAACAGCTTGAAATGCCTTGATTTTGAACATACTTGAGTACTCTCCGTCGTAGTGCCTTTGATGTCAAGGGAAATCCCATGTCATAAAATTTAATGATTTTCCGAACTAAATCAATTTCTTGTGCTTCATTCAAGGGAGGCCTTGCCTCAGAATTCTTTTAACAGCTCCAGTTTCCAAATAGTTTCTAAGGGTGCGACGTGGTAGACCACATCTTGTTTGCACATAACCCTGACATTTTCCTTGACGTAGAAGCAACAGTGCTTCTTCCATTATATCCTGCGTCCGATTGGCGCTCAAGTCGCGACATTTGTTGTTTATATTTCTGTAAAGAAAAATTGAAAAATGTATAAGGTAATAAGGCTCATTAAATTCAAATGGCCGGTAATAAGGCCCAACTGATATCTGTCTGGGCCATATTAGCCACATTACCACGAAATGAAATTTACTATTGAATACTGGCTTGGTAACTGTATTAATGTGTAAACTAAAACTTAACTTTCTTAGAATTCTTGATCTGACCCTTTGTTTCGAAAAAATTCTTGTTGTTTCTATAAATTCTTTTTATTATTAAATGGGTGCATGGGCCTTATTACCTGCGCGGGCCTTATTTCCCACAGGGACATACCATATCAAACTTTACTTCAAGAATTTCTGTATGAAACGCTAGAATCAAGACGGACGACATCTACATTAACGTTTATTATGAAATTGATTGTTCTTTTCTCTAAGTAGCATAAGTTTCAACTATAACCCCTATTTCACATATAGGAGTAGCGTATTTATTTAAATCGACCCCGTACCAATGTTGGTGTTAACTTTCCACTATTCCGAATGTGCAGTTTAGCGAGCAATCTGAAAAACGGAATGGACATTTTTAATTTTACTTCCACCATTTCATTCAAAAACCATTAGCACTTAAAACCTAAAGTATTGTATTTAGTATGCTCTATAAATTTCACTTCTATGAGTATGTATTTGCTTATGCGCTGGTGTTTTTTTCAAGATTCATTTTATTTCTCTTTTTGCGATAACTTGCGGTTAATGTAAGTAAGATTTATGTTTGCAATCTGTTAATGGGCTGTGAAGTCTGTTGATTGCAATTAAATAAATAGATAGATAAATAAACCCAACGTTGTCAAATGATCGGAAAATGTGTGCGTAAAATATTTCATACTAATTCCGAAAAATAACCCGTAAAGACTGATAATTTTGGTATTAATCCGTATTTTCAAACTTAACTGATATGACCTAAAAATTATTAAAGACTGGGTTTAAATGTGCGGTCAGTGCTCGTCAATCATTGAGGGAAAGATTTAAGTTCCAAGTAATTCAAAAGGATTTCCTCGAATCGTTTACCAGAGAATCACTTTAATGAAACACAACAGATAAAACACACACAACCAGTGAGTCTACGAAGTGTGAAGCATATGAGCGTTACACACGTTTGCTTTGATATGGCTAACTTGTAAGTAAATGTTCATGTGAGTATAAATGAATTTAAATAAAAACACAAGGAACATTTTGGTACAATAATTATTATCTTTTTTTCATACTTACTTTTGATGTCAAAATGTTCTAATTTCTTTTGATCAATATTTCTCATTTTTCTGACACAGTATCGCTAAAATAAGTAATCAAAATATGACGTATTTGTCAATTTTTTATATTATTTTATTTATCGCTTAGTCAATTTAAGTAGATTCCCATTCCTATGTCTAGGATTCGATTGGTGTGCAGTGCTGGAATCAAATACAGAAAATGTGACCTTATTATATTTTAGGCCGCATTACAAACTTACGGAATTTTCATGGAAGGAACCAAAAATTTCTACGTCGATACCAAAGACTATATAAAAATTCGCCGAAATTTGAAAGCGTCAAGCGGCGACTTTAAAAAACTGATCAGGAGGGAAATCGAATTGTACGATCAGATGCCAAAAGATATGCTTAAAGTCACCCCAACCTTAATCCTAGCATCGTTACCCGTAGTGTTTTATTTTATATTACCTTTGCTTTACTTTTTTCCAAAGCAACTGCTTTGCTCCCATTTCTGGACCTCGGATCAAAAAATGCGTTTCAGCAATGATTATTTACGGCAAAGACTGAAACATAACAAATCGCTGCTCAAACATCTTAGACGTTTCCAGTGCTCCTTCCCAGAGCAATACCCTCAAAGTTTAATCAAGGAATGGTTGAAAATTTTGGATTCACTTCGTGGTGGAAACCAGCCAGATGTTCAGCAAATTTTGGATTGCAAATTAATGTTTGGACCAGGCCCTTATTGTTTACTATGCCTTGAGGGCGATCATTTGGTATGCTAAATTAAAAAAAAACTGTATATATATATATATATATATATATATATATATATATATATATATATATATATATATATATATATATATATATATATATATATATATATATATATATATATATATATATATATATATATATATATATATATATATATATATATATATATATATATATATATATATATATATATATATATATATATATATATATATATATATATATATATATATGTATTCGGATTATTGGCTTGTATTTTAAAATATTTAAAATAACAAAACAAAGAAAAATGTTTTCAAAATAAATAAGAACTAAAAGTTCAGATTTTCACGAAATTATATATTTTGACATGACAATTGTTTCGACAACACCTGCTACTATATATACCGAAAAATGACCATAAAACGTTAATTAAAGTTGTTGTGAGAATTTTAGTTCAATAAAGGAGAGGTATTTAAATCTAATTGATCATTTAAATGTCTCATTTTGTTAATCTCCATGGCTTTCAATAAATTTAATTTTCTACTTTTTGTGGCTGTATTCCACCTATGGAAGTGATAGATTTAGTAGATTTCACCCTAACTCGGAAACAGGTTAACCCATTGGTGAAACAGGATTTATAAGTTTGCTTAATAGTATCTTTAAACCAAAATTATTTTGAATTTAATGGACAGATTTATATCTCTAAAGAAGGTTTGATTATGAGAAACCCACTTAGTCCTTTGTTAGCGGAGATTTTTATGGAAAATTTGGAAAATATCATACTAGAACATTCTTTAAGTAAAAGTTTTTTATGGTGGTATAGATACGTGGATGTCTTTGCTTGCTTTGTTGGAACGGATAGACAATTGAATTCTTTTTTAAATTACATTAACTCATTACATAATCGTATAAAATTCACTATCGAGATTGAACAGGATAACTCTATTAATTTTTTAGACTTAACTATTACGAAAGTGCAAAACAAATTAGATTTTTCAGTATATCATAAACCTTCACACATGGACACAGTCATACGTAACAGCTCAAATCACCCTTATACACACAAAATGGCTGCATTTAACTCTTTTATACACAGACTTCTTAATACGCCAGTCTCAACAGAAAATTACAACAAAGAACTTAATATCATTAAACAAATTCCAATGAACAACGGCTGCAATCCGTCCATTATAGATAAAATTATAAATAAAAAAACAATACAGACAACAGTAAACTCTATTTATCCGAAACCTAATACAGAACACGAACAATTTAAAACAATTACATACATAGGAAAACCTAGTGAAAAAGTTTCAAAACATTTGTCAAAATGTGGTTTAAAAAGAGCTTTTAGAACTAACAACACAATAGGAAAATATTTAAAAAACAATAAAACGAAATGTCCAAAATCCCAAAAATCAGGTGTCTACAGGTTGAAATGCGGATCTTGTCCTAAAATTTATATTGGACAAACAGGTAGATCCTTCAAGAAACGCATTGGTGAATACAAAAGAGCGTTTAAAAACAATGGTCTAGATTCTAATTATGCTACACACTTAAACACAGAAAAACACATTTGTGACGACAATTTTGATATTTTACATACAGCCACAAAAAGTAGAAAATTAAATTTAATTAAAATAATTATAAAAATATATTGCATAACCATCAATTAGATTTAAATTTTGAACTTAAATTCTGGCAACAACATTAATTAAGGTTTTATGGTCATTTTTCGGTATATATAGTAGCAGGTAGTTTGTAAATATTACATTTGATAAAGACACGGTGTTGTCGAAACAATTGTCATGTCAAAATATATAATTTCGTGAAAGTCTGAACTTTTAGTTCTTATTTATTTTGTTAAATGAATTTTCATGAAGTAAAAGCCACCTCAGTTCAATTTTTAGAAAAACATTTTTTTAGAAAAAAATTATTATGCTAAATGACCGACATTAAATAAAAATCTTCCAGTGGCATCTTGCTCAGTTACACAGCATCAGTTTAAGTCTAGCTAGGAGGAAAAGTTTAGCTCGACGAGCCATTATCTTGATGGAAATGGATCAAGCTATACTACGAGAAGGAGGGGTTCATAACATGCCAATGAAAGCACTTCAGAAGTCTTGTTACATTAGAGGTACGAGTTCAAATCAAATTGTTTCAAATCTCTGTACACTAGAAGACAAAAAATATATTCTACTGGTTCTAGGCTTAAATCCAGCATTCGTTACGAAAGAACATTTAATATTTTGGCTGAACCAGTGGTTGAAAATATCTACGCACGTGCAAGCAAAAGAACTATCGCTGCTGTTACATTGTCCTCTCCTGTTGGGCTACAACGAGCCTTCAAATTTGAGATTATTTTAGGATTAACATTAACGGATATATAACATGCAAATCATTTATTAAATTATCGCCGTATAAATTCGATTTAAAATGGCCGAAATAAATGACGAGCGAAATATTAAAACCGCATATTGCGAAATGGTAGATGATTAATTGTATGTATCACATGTACGGTAAGCATGACGAATGACAATATAAATACCGGTTAATGTTACAAACTAAGTTAAAGTATAATTAAAAATCATTAATCAGTGATTCATGGAGCCGCCCGTACTAATATGTAAACTCGTAATTACCACTTGAAACTTTTAAAAACCCCTGAATGATTGATGATGTTTTGATTGGACGCTCTTTTCGATATTACCTTATGGGCTTAGCATTAAATCACGGAATGCATGTTGTATTCGAAGCTAATTGGTCTCTATCGACTATGCTTTTTTTAAAGGTTCACGCGGCCGATATATCCAAAGGACTTATTTTGCATACATTTCGATTAAGTATGAAATCTCGTTATAGGGACCAGTGCATTTCTATGGACAGTACTTACTTTCGGTAGGTTGACAACCGAAATTGAGATCGTAGCAGATATTTGACTTAAAAATCGGTCGTTGGAAGTAGGGTGTTATAAAATATATTTTTTAATTTTACAAACCCATAGACTAACCAGCTGGCAGACGAGGCTGCCCAAATACCATAAGATTACACGTGTTCGAGAATAAAAAAGGAAGTTAACTAAATATTTCCTAAGCTAATAGACAGTAATTAAAAGAACGTATACTTATGTATGTATGTAGGCTTAAGTTGAATAAGTCCTTATCTTCGCTGTTCTGAAAAACACAGTTATTGTACTTACGAGAACATCTAATAAGCGGAGATTTTAAGTAGTAGTTAGATCTGATTCTTTCTACAGAAAAAGTTAGCCTAGTGTGCACTCGATAAGAACTAGCATTAAAAGATAAGTGACTTGTACAAGAAAGTGACTCAATAAGATGGTTGATAATTTTATAAAAAAAAATTAGGGCTGAGCAATTTCTGCGTGTTTCAAGCGAACTTAATTTATAAAACTATAGGTTATTTTCATACGAAAAGTAGGGTCTGTCTCGATTATATCTGAAATTAAGGTTTCTAAAAAGCTTTTTTTTACACTCTCTATCCGATAGATCGGATTCCATATGGTGGATGGTGGATTCCAAGATGGATTTGATGACGCTTTTATAAAGTAGAATAACTGATGACTGTGGTTGTTAAAGCCTTTGGTGTTACGTAAAACAAAAACCACTATTTCCAAGCACTTCTTTAAAATATTTTATACATGTGCTTCAAATGTAAACTCAGAGTCCAGTATGATGCCTAAATCTTTAACTTGAGTAACTCTTAAGTTTTGTATTGTCTAATTTTAAGTCAATATTAATAGGTTCTTTTTAGCTTGTAAACTGTATTATTTGGCGTCGAGATCATTCTAGAGTTCTAAAATGTCCTATTAAAATTTTTTTTTTGTTGAAAACAGCTTCCAATATCAAATATAAAAATATTGAATAGTTCAATATAAAAATATTAAAACTTTTATCGGTTAGGAAATTTTGCAATAAACGAAGTTTCACAGAAATTTCCGAGATTCTTTACCAGAGTGGGGTGAAGAACCTTGTCAAAAGCCTTAGAAAGTTTAATATTATGGGCAAAAGAATGAGGGTATAATTAACTACTTCTGTGACATCACCAGACTTCAGGATTGGTAGGTGCAATTTGTGCAACGTTCCAAAGTTTTGGAAATGTACCCCGTGCTAGACATATATTAAAAATAATATTTAGAGGTAGTGCCAAACTTGGACAATATTGTAAAAACTGCTACGGTATGCCACCAGGCCCTGGTCCTTTTTTTGGATCTAAAGCAAACGGTATCTTACGGACAAATTCCTCCGAAAAATTATAGATGTCCACGCTCCTATCTGAGTAATTATATTATATTATATCATATTATTATATAAAATATTTTTGTACATTTTTTTTATGCTATTATCAGTTTTTAGTGAATAATCCCTATAGTCGTTTTCTTTACTAGTTTTAATTTTTTTTCGTAATAGTGAGAATAGATTATAGTCATGTTGCTGAGGTATGTACACAGCACAAACAAAGAGTCGGTTACCGCCCTGCAAAGTCAGGAAGACCAACACTAGGACATCTATGCAGCACCAAACACATCACGAACACCTCTTTATGGTCTAGTAATATTATTATTATATATTATCCAATTTGTATGGATATTTGATAAGCACTGGGTGAAACCACAGTTTCATATCGGATGAAAGACAGGACAAGGGACCTTGAACTTGGACGTCCGGTGAATCATGAAAACTTTCTAAGATTTGTTATCCTGAAAGAGATTGATTCACCACAAAAAACAGATAATTGAATGCAGCTGCAATAGGTCATCACTGTCTCCAAATATTTATGCACAATTTTTCAAATGTTGAGTTCGTGGATATTTACCGCGAGATCAAAATATATTTGCCAAATAATTTCAAGGTAACGTTCACGTCCAATGGTATATGATTCGAATGACGCATTTCATAATACACAGTTTACAGTTCTTTAACTATCGAGTTATTCTCCAAATTTAGCATCTAAATGCACACGGTACGGATGGAATTACACCAGAAATGCTAAAACTTTGCTGCGCAGTAGAAAATAGCAGAGGTAATACCATTACGAAAAGTGAGCAAGCCTAACACCGTCGCAGATTTTCGACCTATTAATCTATTGCCACTGCTTTCTAAAGTATTTTAAAAACTGATTTATAGACAGATCTGTGATTATTTCACTAATAACAACCTTTTACCTAAATTGCAATTAGGATTTCGCAACAGGTACGGCTGCAGCTTTGCTCTAAATTTTGGATGATGTTTTCTCGACAGCAGATAAAGGGGAAACATCGGCTTTGGTTTTATTAGATTATAGTAAAGCTTTTGATGTTCTCAATCATACTATGTTCTGTTCCATGTTAAATTACTGCGGATTTAAAGTTAAGACGATTCTATTGATTGGTAAGTAATTATCTGGATCACAGTTATAAGCTAGTTTCGATTGACAACATTAGATCGAAAGCCTTGGAAGTTGACAGGGGGTCCCTCAAGGCTCATTATTGGTACTTCTTTGCTTCATTATCTATACAGCAGATATGTCGTGTTGCTTCGGTGAGTTCAATAGTCACTGGTATGTTGATGACACGCAAATACATATTTCTTTTTCCCGGTCTGATGCAGTGGATGCGGCAAGGAGACTAAATAAATGCTTGGAATCGGCCTTTAAATGCTGAAATAATGCTATAAATAAGTCTGCATTTTGGGGCCGCTAAGTGCTGCACCGCCCAAAACTTGGGTATCATCTTTGATAATGAACTCAGATTTCCTACCCATGTTTCCAAAATTTTCCAAAAGTCTTATATTAATCTGCGCAACATCTATAAAAGTAAAAAACTGGTTTGAGTCATTTAAATTACTGTATTTTTGTCTATGGACCATACTTGGATGTTTTGACACAATATAAATTACAAGAAGTACAGAATTCCTGTATTCGATTCATTTATAATAATCTTAAACGAAGAGATCACGTAAGTCATAAACTTCGCGTTTTAAAACGTTTAAATATATCGAGCCCAGAGGAATTACATTTTCCTTGTTTCTTCACAAACTACTTAAAACCAGATGCCCCTCATATTTGTTGGAAAAGAGACTTGTAAAAATCGAATTCATTTCCGTGGAACCCTCCTCAATTGTCAGTATCAAATACCTAAAATTAAGAAGTCCAGAAGACTAAAAGCTGCTTCTCGTATACATCTGTTAGACTACTTAATAAATATACCCAGATTAGCCAATCACGGAATATCTCTTACTGTGCTTTTAAATTTCAATTAAAATTAATCAGTTCTCTTTATTTAATATAGGTTTTTTATCGTTTTTCTTTTTTAATTTATGCTTCATTCATATCTTTGCAATGTAAAGTTAGTATACTAAATTAAGTTTGCATCGTCTGGTTTAAGGCTGTTTTATTTATTTATTTATTTTATTGTTACTCCGCGAAGTGGGTAACATTTATTTTCGGAAGAATAAACCCCTCATGATGGTTCAAAGTTCTTCAACATCGCCTTGCCAAGTGTGGGCGTCATACTTTTTGTACTTTTGATTTTGGACCTATTATTTACTGTTTGTTGATCATTACGTGATATAAAGTTAGTAAAAAAATGTCCCCAACTGCCTATAAGAAAAGTGCGCTGTTTGGAGAGTTTGTTAAATCATAAGTAGGCAAATTTTCCGATGATATAATCAGTTACTTTTAGCAAAGGTCTGGAAAATTGCAGAAATGTTCCTGCCGAAACGGGTCTTAATCCTTTTAGAGCCATTTAGATGGGTCGTTTAGTAGAACTTTTTTTGGGTGCTTTACTTTGGGGTAACGGCAGAGGGGTCGGATTTTACGCTTGGGGGCGCCAAAGCTCAGGTGCCTTGACGCCACGCACCCTCGTTATGAGTTAACTTTGGCGAAAACTCAATAAAAAATTCAATAAAAGCTTCACAAGGGATCGTTCTGTGCGCGAAAGCCTAAAACCGCATCATGGGAGATAATGTAAGGGGAAACGGGGCACATGGGATGGAGTCCAAGCGCTACGGCAATATGGACACGTTTTTAATTCACATGCTGAAACTCAAAAAATTTTTCTAGAACAGTACGAGAACATTTAGTATTATATTTTTGGATAAAGGACGTTGTTTTATTGAGTAGAGCTTCAAAAAAAGTTATTTTAAGACTATTACAAATCTTGCTATCAAGAAATTGGGCCAAATTTTAACAGCACCTTTTAGAGGCCCTCTGTATATACCTCAAACAAGGAACACCCTTTAGTCTCGTTTTGTATCGGCAATTCGAAAACACTTGCAATTGCACTTGCAACTGCCTTCCATTTGTTTTAAAATCACGTGTCATTCTATTATGGAAGCATCAAAATTCCCTGCAATAGTTATTTTTCCATTCCGTACCATTCATTTGAGAGCTAATGCAAATACCAAAGCATCGAGCATCGACTCGCTCAGTCTAATTGTTTATCATTGTTCATTCTCTGAATAATTGATGGTTGCGTCCTAAATAGAACATTATTACTGCGATGTGATCAAAAATTAAATTGTTGAATCCAACCATCCCC